ATATGCATACACGAGATTTCTATTGGACTGAAAGTGTGTGACTAGAACATCAAGGAGATCAGCTTGACATCTTTACATCATAAATTGTGTTGAAAAGATTGTTGGAGGAGGAACATCCTTTCTTTTGCTGCAATCAAATTCACTTATGATAATACTATCTTGATTTGTCTTGTAGATTGGATCAAAGTGTTCAATTGGTTCATCTTGCTTCCAAATCTTTTGATAACTTATCGTCCATGTCTTTGAGAAAAGAGTGGTAAGTTCTTCATTTGAGATCTGCTTTGGAATATGAACATGTTTAGGAGTTCTGTTTGCTGCTTTCATTTTGACAAAAATAGCATCATTAGAGTGTGAAAGAGGCAAGTTAATGGCATAATCTTGAACTCTATATGCCATCTGGTAGTGAAGGGTTGCTTGGAGTCTTTTTATTTCTGTGCCTACGATCTGGACTTGAACTTTTAAAGCATCTAACAAGGTTGGATCATGAAGAGACATATTATAATTTGAGAAGACTGTGAAGAAGACAGTTCCTACATTGAGTGTTATCTCAACTATGTCAAGGATTGCATGCTTGTATTCTTTAAATCTTGTATCCAGCAAGGCCATTCTGGTACATACAAGAATTCCATTTCTGTCATGAAAGGTTAAGGCTATTCTGATAGCACCAAAGTGAATATAAGTGTATCCTTATTCTGACCACTGTTGAAGAAATTCTTATAGGATCTGAAGAGTAACAAAGTGCTCTTGAGGTCCTGCTAGAAGAATACATTGATCAAAGTTTGTGGCTTAACATACTCTTTTGGAGCTTGGCATTTGGGTTTTAAAAAAGTTTTTAAGGATCTAGTAAGAGAAGGGGAGGAGTTTGAGAAAGTTGTATAAGGATTTACAATGGGAAGAACTGTTTGTTGGATTTTTTTTTCTTTTGGGATATAATCTACTTTATATAAGAACTTAAACTTAGAAGAGTAAGACTTTTTAAGCACAGGAAAAAGAGGAGAAGACAAACTAAAAGAAGATCTAGAAGAAAAAGGTTGAGAACTAGAGTTGCTAAGAATTGATAGATCCATGAAAATAAGACTCTCTTTTGGCTTTTCCTTTTTCCAACTTCAATAATCAAGGCTTAGAAACATATTCTCTTCTCACTATCTTGGCAAGCTTCAAACTCTGATACCATTCCTTCTTCCATAATTAAAGCTTTTAGCTTCATGTTTTTTCTTCAAGCTATTCTATAGTTTGTAGTGATACAAGTTGAGTATGCTCTGCAGTTGCCATAATATTATGGATCTTCTGCATCAAAAATTCTTGTTAAACTGTTAAACAAATTATTGATCTATTTCCCTCAGTCAAAGAAAAGTTATACTGACCCAAGATCATACTAATAGTAAGTTACTATAATAAAAGACATATCTCCATAAAAATCAGGTCCCCAATTCGACGTTAAGCAAAGAAGGCGTCAGAGTCTTGAACACCGACTAGAATACTTTGATTATATGTCTGATAAATGAAACGCTTATGGTTGATATTATCTTGATAAGTTGACCGATCTACACGCTGTTGAAATAATACCAAATAGTATATGAGGTCTAGTTCAAAGGCTTCATTTATGTTTTTTAAGGACATGAATTCGGACAAAATTAAGATTCAATCCTTGTAACTTTTTCTTTCCCTATTCTCCTCGGATTTTGACCTCTTGGATAACAAATAAAATCTGCCAAACAAAACTATAATGGGGTTGAGTATTGACTTGTTGTAGTCGGGTATGCTTGTACTGCTTTGAAACCGTTAAATTTTATATTGTTGAGTGTGCTCTTGTACCTCTAAGTATGGTGTTTGTTGTAGTAGATGTGGATAAATTTATCTCGGTTTAGCAGCTATTCAGCTTTACTTCACTGTAGTAATAGCTGCCTCAGAGGCATTGTGAAGCCGTGATTATTACAGGTTCCACTATTCACATTTTTTTTAAGAGCATTATGTTCTAAAGGCCTGGACGGCCTGATTGTCAGGATGATCGATATCTGAAGCCCTTCCTTTTCGCACATTTGGTTCTGCCAAGGGAATGGAAGGATCTTTTGGAATTGTTTGGGGATGATTGAAAATTATTCATTGAATTATTGCGTGAATGAATAGCTTTTTCCCCTGCCTCAGTCTTATTTCCTGATCATGGGACGGGATGATAACATCACTATTATCAAAAATGGATTATTAGTAAAAATAATAGAGTTTATGGGATAATAATAGTAATAAAATAACGTCACTTGCATCGACACAAATTTCTTGAACTTCCATGAAGTAATATCAAGCATTTTTTTTGCAGTTCAATCACAATTCTTGTGAGCAGAATAACTTTATTGTCCTCATTCTAAACTAATCATTTTATACATATTTTTTTGGAAATTTCAATTCACCAACACATTTTTTCATAATAATACTAAATATTTACAATATTTAAACTATATTTTTCTCATAATACTTTTAAGCATATTTTTTTCTAACACAACTTTTTTCATCCACAACAACAATGTTAAACTAGACCTAAGTTGGTTTTCAGACCAAGACATGAGGATGAAGTCATGAGGCAATTCATATGCTTTCCATAAACATATAAAGTTGAAAGGTGCATCCGATCTTATAGAGATTGCAAATCACAATTTGATATCAACACAGGAATGATCAAATCATATTGTACTACAATGTACTTATTTCAAAACCAAAATAACAATCATGTAATCACTTTATGAAAATAGAACCAATTAGATTTACGAGGGGCTCGGCAATAGTAACCCTCTTACCCTTCAAAGTCCGACAGTTGTTTTTCGTGTGCTGTCCTCTACAAGGCAATCCCTGAATATGGCGAACCCCTCTGTAGCACCAAATCTCCTTCAATCACCTTATATTAAGAGCATTGAACCGCCTCTAAAAAAAATGAAATTGCTTAGTGAATATTTACAGTTAGAGCTCTTGAAACAGGACAAGCAGGAGAATGAAAATTACCAAGTCGCCTTCAATCATATACTTGGAAACTTCATCACGAATCGTAATGAGTTCTTCCTCGGACAAATCTTTGGTGATTGTGTTTTCCATTTGGAGATCACAGAGAATTTTTCGAGCCCTAGAGCGACCGATCCCATGGATGTACTGAAGAGAGAATTCCACTCTCTTATTGTTTGGAATTTCCACTCCTCCAACACGAACGCATTCTATGCTTGGACTTCGATACTAAATGATTTCAAAACAGAAAACATAACAAAAACCAACATTAAGAACAGTAAGCTAAGAATTTCGTTTCGAAAGTTCAAAACACTAAACCCTAAACCAACATTAAAAAAGGTACAGCTTAACTATGAAAAAGCACAAACTTTTGAATTCTACATTTGGAGTATGATTAAACTTTTTCAATTTCAATCACCAACAAAGCATCTAAAATTCTGAATACTAACATTTCAAACACATGGAACCTTACTTTGCGCAAACCCTATAACAATTAAGCCTAAACAACAATCAAACAAATCGAATTAATTTCTGTTTTCGAAAATTTAGGACAACAGTATGGAAAAAATTGGAAAGCAATAATGAGATTTCAGGTTCTTCTTTCTATTCTTTTTTAATTGAGTGAAACCTAAACAGAGGGCGAAGCAATTAAATGAAATAAAATTGGCAAAAAAAAAAACAAAAACGAAAGTAGGAAAATCCAGAAATGAATGAAATAAGAAGGAATTTACCTTTAAGGGGTTTGAAACTGGAAGGGAAACAGTCTTAGGGAGAGAAAGAGAGCGTGTTTTGTTGCCTATAAAGGAAATGAAGGTGCTACGGGCATTGCCAGGCTTTGCGCCATCTTCCTTTCAGTTTTCTCGTTAACCGAACAGAGAGAAAGGACTATAGATCAAGAAGGTGTTACTAACTTTTCTACTCTATCCTCTTCTCTAAATGGGGGACGTTAAAGGTACTCGCTCGAGTAAAAATGGAAATAAACTCGCTACCTTATTATTGCCACTTTGACATGGGCCTAAAATGAGGTTTAGCCGGCGTCATAGCTCATAAGGGGATATCAGCCCAAAATTAAATTTCTTCAGTAGGAAATAGAAATGGATCATTATCCGCTCCTCTTAAATGGACCGGCCCAAGACTGAATTCAATTGTCATGCAGTCTAAATTTTTAATTCAACAAGTCAGATTAAAAAATTAATACTTATCCCTTTTTTTTTAATGAGTTTTTTTTTTTAATATAGAGGTATATATTATTTATTAATTTCAGTTATGAAATTAAAATATTCACTACAATGAATGCAATTATTTCTCTTTTAATAATACAGTCAATAGTATCCCAAAGTTTGTCTCGACCCATTCTACTCCATAAGAGATTTTAAAGTTGCACCCCACATTCCTTGGATGCATACATGTATAATCCATTTAATTATATCCCAAGTAGTCTATGCTTTATAGCTTTACTAGCAATTGAGCTCCAATAAAAAAGCATTATCCCATTTAAATTCAAGTGTTTGAATCTTCAAAAAAAAGCTCCAATAGGCTAATTATGCCTTTGATTCACAGCCTCGACAGCAACAAAATTGTCTAGCTCATAGATGTTGGAGATTCATCTTTCTTTCCATTTGACCATTTCAGTGTTTTCAGCTGTTTTCAGCAGTTTCAGCACCAATATCAGTAACCTAACTTTGAGTTATAAATAATACTAATAATCTACACAAACTGTTCTTAGAAAATAAAAACATTGGAGTATAATTTAACTATTTGAAGCTATGGAGAATTTATTGTTAGGAAATACTTGGATTTAATTATAGAAATTAGAGAAATAATTATAAGTATTAAAATTCGAATTTTAAAGTTATTAAATATTATTTTTTAAAAATAATTATTTAAATAAACTGAATTAATTTTGATATTTATTTTCATACGTATACCATTGGAATCAATCGGACACAAAGTATACTACTCAAACCCTGCAAGTGTTGCAAATTTCAATACCATAGGAATAAATTGGATGGAGCAGTTAAGCTTGAACCGATGATGATGTTGAGAGGATCAGTTACCTATTGGGGTTTTCATTGGAGTATTATACTCTACGTAAGAAACCAACTCCTTTTGCATGAAACAGCAATTTTAGTTTCCGAATACGATCACACACAAATGTTATTTGGTTGACTGGAGCTTGGGTCTCATGATCTGGAAAATCACATAAGATGCATGTCTATGAATCCCTTCAAATTGATTTATAACATTTTCCAAATAAAAAATATATATACCTCTTTCTAGGTGATAATAATTAACAAAGGTAATAAATGAACTAGGTTGCTGACGTGGCAAACACTTCATTGCCACGTAGGAACAAGGAAGCAGCAGAAGCATCCACAAACCAAACGACGTTTCCATGCTGAGGCGAGACCATTTTGGCTGGGTGTGATCTAATGGGCTTTTGGCCCACCATTGCATCCATAAAAGGACGCGCCAGATCCATACCCGACGCCACAATCGCCACGTTGGCAGCGGCATTGATGACGGGGAGAGTGAGGGTCACGCTTTCCGTTGCAGCGTCTTTAGAAACACAAGCAACCCACTGAGAATCTTCTTCCAACACCGGGTGATTAGAATAAAGAGATGCCACGTGGCCGTGGGAACCTAACGTCAGGAGGACAAGATCGAATCTGGGACAGTCGCTTGATGGAGATACTTGAACCGTTCGATTTTTCACTTGTTGTCTGATGGAGAACTCATAGCCACTGGCCGCTGACTCCCCCGAGACACCGTGACTCACTGAGATAACGTGCGCTGGCAGTAAAGGAACCTGTATTAAATTCGTAAATAATTAAAATTTAATATTAGATATATTAAAGTCAATATTTTTTTTCTAAATTTCGTGAAACCAGTTAAAAAAATATTACAAAATAAAACAAAAGGAATAATTTATCACATTTTTTAAACGTGACAAAATACTTTAATATGATACGAAAATTATATTAAAAAATAAAAATTTTATATAAATTTAATAAAAATAAAATATTTTATATTCAATATACCATTACAAGATAATATTTTATATATATTACACTCAAAATAAATAAACATAAATATATAAGTTATTTCTCCGTGAAAATTGGACGGAGAAAAGGACAAAGGGGCTGTCAATTCTTAACACTTTTTGCACACTACACGAGTTTAAACCCAGCCCTCCCACCCCGTGTTCAAACGGCCAGCCATAAATGCCCAGTTTCTGATTGCTCAAAGACAACAACAATTCCAAACATAAGGATACTAACCAAACATTATTTAATTCAAAATTATCGTCGAACTTCGTCAATTAATCCTTTATCTCCTCTCAGTTTTACAGTTTACTACTATAATAATCCAGCTCATTACCGAGAAATAACATATATTCAAAGGGAAATTAAACAGAAAAAAAAAATAAAAACCTTGGAGATGAAACATTCTTTGGCTTGCCAATAGAAGCTATCAGGGTGGCGCTTGGCGACTACGTTCTCCTCCGCCCAAAAAACATGCCATTTCAACCAGTCCACTACTCTCAAGAACGGTGCCTTGGTCAGTTTCCTACATTACAAAATCATGCATGTAATTCTTCATTCTTCATTCTTCAAACCAAAAAAAATAGGGTAAAGAAAGCAAATATTAATGAATGTTGCATGCAAAAGTTTATACAGACCCTAAACGCTTTGGTATGTCTCCTCCAGACAGAACAAGAGAAAAAGAGCCTCTCTCTTTCACAGCAGATTCAGCAACTTGAAGCACATAGTCAGCAAGACCTGACGACAGCTCCTCACTACTATCAAATAGTCTCAACTCTGGCGCTTCTATCTTCTCCATTGCCACTCCAACGTAATTACTTCTCAACAAATAACTTACCAATTTATACTAGCTTCAGGGAGTCGAGAGATAGAGAGAGAGAAATGTATTTGGGTATTTAATTAATTACAGTAAAGCACATGAATTGAAAATGATGCAGGCTTTCTTCACGTATCTTGAAGAAATGGGATAAACATTAAATTACCAACTTTTTCCCACCATAAAGAAAGGAGCATGCGAAACCCTAGCTAGTTGTTATCATTTAGCACTAGGATTCTCACTTTTAAATTACGAAACAGCCCCTTGTCGGTTCTGAAGATTTGATGTTGTTCTGGGGCAATAAAACACGTGTTGCTTCTTGTTTGAAAAGTTTGACTGTAGTTGGATAAGTATGAACTTACTGGGGAAATGGACAGCAGTTAGTGGTCGGCCTGTGTCAGGACCACGACCACCAAACCCATTTAGTCCTATCACCCTTCAAATCTATGGAACCACAAAACCCAGGGCAAATCACCATTTTCCAATTGGTGGGTTTAGCTCAAGCTCCTCGTCAGTCCTTTCTCAGTTTCTTCACTCTTGTGTACATTGGCTTGGGTTTTTCTTTGTTTTACTTTCCGATGCGAAAATGATCAAGATATTAAAATAGAGAGAGGGGCTACCGGCTCTAGTTCATAGTTAAAATTGGATTGGAATTCATATTTTTGTATACATTCAACAACAAAACTTAATTTAGGCTAAGGGATAAAAAAAAAAAAAAACAATAACGGTAGACTACTAAAATTTTGAGATTCAATATTATTATAGTCTTTTTATTTTGTAACATATTCCATAATGCTATAAAAATATGATGTTTCATTAGATGACTTTTAACCATATTTTACATCATTTAAGTATTTTTGGATAACTATTCCATCTGTCAGCATACTGCCTAAACATTTATATTGCGTTTGGTACTAAGGAAAGAAGAATGAAAAGGAGAGGATTGACGGAAAAATTGCTTTATTTTCATGGTTCCCTTCATTCGGTAGGAGAGATATAAGAAGAGAGAAACAAAAAAAAGTGGGTGGATTTACACTTTTTTTTTTTGGTGGATTCAATTCTTTAAATAAGTGAAAAATGTTTATTCAATTTAAATTAATAATTTTATTTACAATTTTATACATAACCTCTTTCTTTCTTTATATTTTGCATTCTTTATATCAAACACAAATGACAAAAAAAAAAATCCCCTCCTTAAATATTATTAATGTAATCATGACAATTAAAGAAAAAAAAATGAAATCACGTGAGAGAATTATTTTTTTTAGTGTAACATAATTTAAATTATTTTTGCAAATTAAAGAAAACCACGCTTGCTATGAGCAGTGTTGTAGTTGTGTAAATTGTTTAATGGTGTATAATTTTGCACTAGTTAATTATTAATAGTTAACTTAGTGAATCAGGTGGTGAAGAGAAGATTCAAATGTACGTGGCGCCAAGTCCAACCACCAAAAACAATAAATGGATGAATTATCAAATTGAGTTTTGTCTTTTGGATGGATGCAAAAGATAAATAAATAAATAAATGTGTCCATAAATATTGGTACTGTGATACTGTCTACTGCGCGAGCCCTGGCCAGCAAGCCAGGTGAACAGTAAGCCTATATGTACATAGTGACAAAAAAAAAAAGGGGCTGCCTCTGCCTATACTTGTTGTATCCTAAGTAGCTTTTGCTTTGGATACAGATAAGGCTGAACAAGTACGAAGTAAGTGATATTCATATCTTTTAAGTACTCCTTTTATCCTCGATCAGTTTCTTCGATTAATCCCACACAAATAATTTGATCGACACGGGACAGAGAAAACAATTGCCAGGTAATCCTTGGTTTCCTGAAGCAGTGGAATACATGGCTGATATTATCATAGTGGAGAATTGCACATCTTCTTTCAAAAGAAAAAGCTTCCAATATTACTGTGTGACATGCAGGAACAGTTGGTCACTTCTATTAAACAAAGTTCATGTTTTTATTTATAGTAAGAGAAATACTAACATAGAGGACTTTTGCTAGCATCTGATCTTGAGTTCTTGTTCCCATATGCATGGAAATGAAAGCTCCCAGCAGAGTCTTAGATAGAGTAAAACATGGATTTGGTTTCGTTAATACCTACAGGAATTGAAGTTGGAGATTAATCTAGAGGAGGGAATTAACTATTAGTTTGAAGTCATCCAAGCTAACAGCTCCATCACCATCTGCATCCATGGAAGCAACAACATCTTGGCAATCCTCCAGGGACAATTCAATTCCAAGGTTCCCCATAACTTCATATAACTCCGTTGCTGTCAGAGCTACATCCCTATCAGCATCAAAAGCTTGAGAAGCGCTTCTGAGAAATTGGGCAAGGTCCCCAAGTGCCATGTCCTTTGTGTTCATGTCCAGGAACTCTTCAATGCTCAGCAATCCATCCTTGTTAGTGTCTCCTTGTTGCATCATTTCCCTTACATCTTGTTCGCTAGCGTTGTAACCGAGCGAACCCAGGATTCCACCCAGCTCTGCAGCATTGATTGCGCCATCATTGTCTGCATCAAATGCTCTGAATGCCTCCACCAGGCTTAGGACATTGCTCAGTGTCTCAGTTTCTGCAGACAGAGACGACCCCAGTTGAGCCATGTAGCTTATAATTAAATTCACTATTCAACTTACCTTTGCCTAAGCTCCTTGCTCATCCCTTCCTATAAATAACCAGTGGAAAGCAGTGGATCACATTTTCTTTTTTGGCACGGTGGTACCTTTGTGTCGACATAAAGTTGAAGCGAAAATAATGTCAGATTCTTATGCTTAAAGGTGCCTTATCCTGGGAATTTTTGGCTCCCAGCTAAATACTTCTTGCTTTCTAGGATTCTTGATAAAATAATATAAGCAATATTCAATTTTACAATAGTGACACATCCAAGCAGGAATCATTCTTTCTGAGAAAAACTTAGAAGAATAACAAAATATCCTTTGATTTCATGCTTCAAAAATCAGGAAAACTGGTAAATTTATAAACTAAACCCCCACACTGATGCAGAAGATCCTGCAAGATGGACAAACAAATTTTTGGGGAGAATGGATATTGGGTCACAAAATCAGAAATTTTAAACTGGTTATTACGTCGGAAGCGCGGGTCTTCGGCCGAAAGTAAAAGGGCCGGGGGAGTCGAAAATGAGACCCACCTCTCGATTAAAAAGGGTTTTCAATTTTTCATAGTGGCTTGAGGCTCTTAGCACACATTTCTTGGATTTGGCACCCTCACTTCGGGCAAAAAAGGTTCAGTCAATTGGACTGGCTTTAACTGAGAGGAAGGTTAAACAGTGGGTTGGACTTTACATTTTTTTTGGGCTAGAGCTTGGACGCAAGTCAATATTTTACGGAAATTTAGTGGTACCCAGCGGTGTTAATGAAACAGAGAAATGGGCAATGCAAATTTCTGACCTTGAGCAAATGGGGTGAGCTGAAAAAATAAACTATTTCTATATTATAAACCTGGCCTATTTTACATCAATACCTAAGTTCCATCCCCTTGACTTCGGAACGCAAAACGCTCAATTCCAATACAAGGCCATATATGATCAAATATTCTAACAAAAGACAAAAAATGAACACTATATCACCAAAGATCCAAATGATTTCAAAAGGGTCAAAAATCACATTCCATAACAGTCTTCAGTGTATTTAATTTTACCTATTAGATTAATACAAGAATGGCTACAACCCTTTTTTATTTTAATAATATGGTTTGGGTTTGTAATAACAACAATAATATACTAAATCTTATATCACATACACTGAGTCGACTATATCAAAAATTAAATAAGAAAATTAAGTTAAGTTGTAATTTAAATCTTTTTGCATTACTTATTTCTGTCAACAACCACATTTTCATTTAATTCCTTAATCATCATATTGTTTTTTATTTTTTATATACATATCTTTCGTACTCTATCTCTAAATATTTTGATCTTTCCTAAATCTAGAAACTCAATTATCTTAACTAATGTATAGTTAGGCTTACATTTCACATGTTTAAACTATTGCAAATGACCTTTTCTTATCTTCTTTTCAATTTGGACTATCCTAATTTTTCTCAAAATTTTTCATTTTTGATTTTATCTTTTTTAGTTTTACCACACATCCATCTAAGCATCCTTATCTCCGTTACATTCATTTTCTTCTCATGTTATTTCTTAACAGCCCAACACGTAGTTCTATATAATAATGTAGGCCTTATAGTTATTTTATATAATTTTACTTTTTAATTTTAAAGGTATGTTACGATCACACAATACATTCGACAGACTTCACCACCTTGTCCATCTTGTTTGAAGATTTGGGTTTGTAACATGTAATTATAATAAGAAATTCAAATTTTAATTCAATTAATTTATTTAATTACCTATAAGAAGTAGCATTCAATAAGTTTGTAGTTCGAATCTTAGTATTTGTGTTCACGATCATTTTTCCTATCCTCAAACTACAACTAGAGGTTAAAAAAATTGAAAAAATTGAAAGAAGAATCAAAACTACAATATTCTATTTGTTTTATATCAGATTTTTTATCCAATTATGATTAAGTTTAGGTATTAAGTGTATATATTAAGTTTAAATTAGATTTTAGATTAAAAAGTGAAAAACCTTATCATGCATAATTATATATTTTTATTAATATATATTTTTTAAATTTTATAAAATAAAAATAATTATTTTATATCTAAATATATTAAAATATATTAAAAATCATATTAAAAATATATAAAAATTAAATTTAAAAACCATTAAATCAAAAAATAGAATTTGATTTGAATCGAATCAATTTAAAAAAAAAATGATTTGAATTTGAATTAAAATTTAAAAATTTATAATATTATATATTATCTAAAAAATAGAATAAAATTTGATCCGATACCACTTTTAGTTAGGGCCTCCTTTATTAAAAAAAATAATAATAAATAATGTAACTTACTAATTTTTGGTCAATTGTTAACCGGACGTCTGCGGGAGTTGGGAAAGTGACAGCACAAATTTGCTGTCCTTGGAAATTATCAAACGTTACAAGCTTCCACCCAAAGTCTTTAGATACCATTTCCAAATTGTGCGCACTTTCGTATCAATATTCTAATTTCTAGCCACTTACATTTGAACCAATTAAATTATCCTAAATGACATTTCAAAGATAAGTAGATAACAAAAATAATATATAGTCGGAAATTAAAAATTTATTAGCTATGACGTTTATTTCAGAAATTGGGTTTTTTTTTTTTTTCTTAAAATGAATAATAATTCTAATTACATTTTTCTGGAGGAAGATCAGGGGCTAAAGCCCATAGTTTCCCAAGCCTGTCTCATAGTCAAAGGCACTTTTAAGAAAAATTAAAGTCTTAAATGTTCTACTAAAATTTGCCTATCTACCAATTTTTTTTATTTATCATGGCACGGCCACACAAAGCAGTAATATATGGTTTACATATACATATAATAATAAATTTATTTTTTAACAAAGAAGGTTGTAATTTAAAATAAAAGTGAAAAATTTTCAAATATTAAGATTTAAATTTCAGATATATATAATATCATTTCTTAAAAATAGTTATATGAACAAATTAGATTAAGTTTTAGACTCATAATAAGATATTTCTTTGTCAACAAATTTTGTTTGACTGAAACTAGGAAAATGCTTGATTTGGATAGATGAATTTTCCTCAGCTAATACTTTGCAATCGCCCCTTGTGCCCCTTCACAATTGTTTCTTGTTTATATTCACCCCAGCTGACTTGAATTTCAAAACCATTATCAAAATCTTGTTGATTGATTCAGCATATGCGCATGTAATACTAACTGTCACGGACTCATGGTATAATTTCAAATGCTTTCTTAAATCTTTCTGTCCTCTTAACCAAAAGAATCATTTAGATTTGAGTTTAGGGGTTAGCCGACAAGGTTTCAAGTGATTGGAACAAGATTCAGTTAAATGAATAGCGACTAGTAAGTAATCAAGAGATTCCTGACAGGGCAGGTTAGTTCTATAAAAGGACTATTCAAAAGCAACAACATCCGATTAAAATATTTGAGATTCATGGGAGCTGCTAGAGATCCAGCAGTGAAATATGATGTAAAACAAGATCTTGGTACCATAAAAAAAGGAACAATCTATCTAGTATAAACCTTGTTGTTTAAATGGTATTTGACCATAGCACTCAAACTCAAGGTGAGAAACACCTTGAGATGATTTTCTGGTTTGATTCCCACTTGGTAATTGTAAGACTTGAAACATTTATAATTAAATATATGTAAGAGGTGAGAGACGAAAGATCTGAACTGTTAAAAGTGTGAATTGAAAAAAGACAAAAATGAGCAAGGGGCCAGGCCAATGTAAGGCGAGCGAGGGCGGAAACTAAGCAAAGATGACCTTTCAACATTCCAAGAACCAAAGGCATCCATTTACCAACTAATGGGTTGTTAATTTGGCTCACAGCAAGAGGAGCAGCCATGCATGCAGCTGCCTGTCGGTCGCGGCGATTCCCAAAAAACAACTGCTCTTTCCAGTGGACCCACGCTCTAATTCACGCTTACTTCCCCTATGCTGGCTCGTGGTTTTCTTTTGTGTGTGTGTGTGCGTGTGTGGTAGACGAAATTTCTAGTCTTTTCTTTTAACTGTTTTGATTGCGAATGATATCAAATGGTGTAAAATTCGAAAACCGTTTTGAGATTTTACTACTGTATCAGATAGATTGTCAGTGCCTAGTATAAGTGCAGTGCACTTCAATTGCTTTTTATAGTCGATGCATGAAAAGATCGTTGGCATTTTCTTCAATTGGGATCACAAAGGCAAGTTTCCCCACCCTCTTTTACTTTGTAAGAAAAATGGTTTCCAAGCCATAGGTGACCACCTTTTGCTTTGTTGCCTCTAGCTAAGGGGAAAATTGGACAATGTTGATGTATATTGGTCAATGCAAAATCTGTCAAATTATAAGGAGACACTTTCAAGCTTCATTTTTCATTTTCAGTAGTACGCGAATCATCTGCAAGTGAACTTAACTCCTTATCTGCATCCAGGATGGTTTAAAGAAGAAGCATTTCCATTTTCTGAAGGACAACTTATCATTTTTAGAAATTAATTTTTCATATAGAATGCCATGGCTCAAGATACCTGCCACGAAATTGCTTTTTTCTAAATATTACAAAAAATTATACTGTGAAGAAACCTATTGTGAAGTGATTGAGTACTTCTTTAATATAATCATTTGGTTGGTGAAATGGAAATCAGTCCATGAAAATAATGTCCAAATTAAACAAACCAATTGATAGAAGGAATTTTGTGTTCCAAGCTATCATTAATCTCTGTTTCCTCTGTATTGCTCAGTTCGAGAGATCCAATCATAAAATACATTTTTTTTTTTATGATAGAAGCTATCCCACTAATCCCAAGTGCAGCCTTAATTAAAGTCAAATTAATTAATAGTTTATTTGAGGTACATTGCGGTTTGAGTTTTCAAAACTCACAAAAAGAAAAACTTTGACTTGATCGATAATTAATTTAATATCAAACACCGCTCACTATGAATATCTATAAACTAAACTAAAATTGTTAATTTGGGTTTAAAAAATTAATCACTACTGTTTTAAAAATTACTACTACTATTCAGACCACATTGATGACGACAAAAAAATCACTAATTAAATAAACATTAAGTGGTAGTATAAAGTTGGATATTTCAGCCAAGACTTTGGAATTATTTTTTATGATGGAAAGATATTTACAAAGAAC